CTTCACCATACTCACTCTCTCTGTGTCTTATTGTTTCTCTTCTGTCCCTAAAACTTGCACAGATCCACCAAGACACACCCGGGGCCTGTCGTGCACATCAGTGATAACCCCATGGATGAAGGAAAGGTACTGATAGTTGACCACCACATCGCCTGTGGAACAGAGATACATTTCTACCCTGAGACTTCAAACTAAACTGCACCGTTTTTTGTTTTCTTTTGTTTTTTTACCCTGTGGATATCTGCTCCAGTGCAGACGACACAATGTCAATACGGCTTGTGCAGCTACAATGGCGAATGATAGCAGAACATTTTCAGCTAATTAAAATGTCAATGCTAAACATCAGGTTTTGTTGTCAAAATCGGGGAGAAAAGGTTTCTTCCGAGACTAATCGTTCACAGAAACGTTCCATAATGTTACGCAGACTAAATCCTGTCAGGAGAGATGCTGTGATCTCAACAGTCACTGTAGATTGTGGCAGTTACTAGGGCTCGTAAAATACATAGCTAATTAGACCAATGCAACATGTTTATGCTGCTTTGAATATTTTTTTAATATTTTAAATATATGTATGTGTGTATATATACTGTGTGTGTGTGTGTGTGTGTGTGTGTGTATATATATATATATTTTTTTTTTTTTTTTTAATGGGTGTGTGTTTTTCTTTTCATTTTATTTATTGATGCAATCTCATAAGAATTTTTTGGAAAATAATATGGAAAATTGGTATACCATAGGAAATCAACAAACATGGGAAATATTGTTTTTTCAGTAGATCTTGATTTTATTATTAAGATTTAAAAAATGATTTCAAGGAAATTCCTTTGGGAATCAACTACTGAATACTATCTGTGTGTTAGGAACTCTTTCCTCTATAATTATTAACAAATTACATAATTCCTTCACGGACAGGTCGTAGGACATGATTGAGAGATGATCAGTGTAATAAAGTGTTGTTAAAGATGACTCATGCTTTGATCATCACAGACGGTGATGGTGCAGCCGTGTGACCTCCAGGCTGAGTTACATGTGCAGAATGTGGTTTCACAGAAATCAGCTGAGCTCTGCTTCACGTCTCTCTCTTCTCTCAGCTTCTGATTGGATTTGAGTGTGGGATAGTGGTGTTGTGGGATTTGAAGTCCAAAAAAGCTGACTGCCGCTACAGTTATGATGAGGTAAGGCATTTTTTCTTTTTCTCACTGTTGTCCCTGCAACATGTCTGGTCTTGTTATGTTGTGTTTTCTCATGAAACCTGAAATAGCTGCTCATTGGGCCCTTTTGAGGTGTCTCAAGTTCCTTTTGTGTTCCAAGAAGCATTATCTCAAAGCATCAAATGTGCTGTAGCACTTTAAAGGCATACTTTGCAGGAATTGTTGCTTACTGTTTGTAAAACAACATCCAAAGTCGACCCCTCCTCCCTCCGGCTTGACGACACCAGGATCGCACGCCCGCTGACCGTGGTTGCCGGAATACAGCCAAGTGTACCCACTTCTAGTGGGTCTTCAGGGATAATTCAGAGGGAATACTTTTGCACGAATCTATAAATTTTGGGGGTGAAACTCTACGTTTTAAAGGATACGTCTGGTCATATTTTACGTTCTTCTAATTGTCATCCCGTGAATCAAAACCCATGAAAAGACCTAAACTATCAATGAACGGATCCTTCAAACAAGCAAAGCCCGATATATCTTATTCCTCTGTGCCATAGAGCCCATTGTCGTCCAAAAACTATTAAACTGAGTAATGTGTTCCTTCATTTGATTAACTGGCGCACTGTGGTTTACTTTGAGCCGATCCCACATACAAACACACTTGCATGTGCACCAAATGTGTAAACGTAGTCCCCAACAAATGTACGTCCTCCTGTTGAATCGCTCAGCTGCTTTAGGAAATGATTTAAGTTGAAAGTACAAATACGTGATCCACTTTCAAAGACTTATGTCTTCAGTAGGACCGGATGGGCGTAGAGCTGAGAGCCAACAGACAGAGTGTTGAGAGACTGACCAACGTACTGTTTGTTTTGATCTTGTCGTGGGATTTGTTCATAATAAGAAAAGCCGCCTTGTGCTTTGAATAGGCTGCACGCAGAGCCTCTGCGGATAAAATGTGCCTGAAGTTTACTTATCCCGATGTGCTGCTGCGTGTCTTTCAGGCGATCCACTCGGTAGCTTGGCACCATGAGGGTAAACAGTTCGTCTGCAGCCACTCTGATGGCACGCTGACCACATGGAATATACGAATCCCAGCCAAGTCTGCACAGATCATCACACCACACGGTTTGAGCTGTTGTATATACACAGTTGTATTGTTTATATGTTACGCACAGACGTATTTAATAGAAGCCACCTATGTCTTTAATACATATTGTAGCATGTGACTTCCTTGTCCGTGTGTGTGCAGGAGCATCATGTACATTATATGTATTGTAATTCTGCAAAATACACTTCGCCCCCCACTAGGAAAGCAGCCTAAGGATGGAAAAAAGCCAGAACCATGCAAGCCTATCCTGAAAGTGGAGTACAAAACAACAAGGGCTGGGTAAGTGTGATGGTAGCAAATCCACACCCATCCTGTGTCTTAACCGGCCGGAGTTTGAATCCATATCCTGCACTGAAAGTGGCCTTTCCTGTTATTCTATCGCAACAGGCCGGTCATGTTGACAGTGTCCTACTGTTGCTGGAAACTGGGTGGGAAGCTGGGAAGGCTCTGTCTAATTATTTTTACGTTCTCACCGGCTTTGTGTTGTTGTGATCATGAAATGAATCATGACAAATGATGAGCTGTTCCATTCAGGTCACATGTTAATTGTGTTGTGATCATCATCATTATCTGAAGAAGGTCACCAAGTACAAAGACAAAACTTTTCTGTGAAACATGTCATAAAACATTACCTAATTCACTGAAGCTAATCTAATTGTCCCCTACCTTCTTTTTTTTTTGTTTTTTTTTTTTAAAGGACATGTATTAATATAGTTGTCATTAAAATTAAAAAGTAGGCTCCTCCCATCATTAATGCTCTTGAAATGGGGGCAAAGCATCTCAAGAGAAATAGGGACGAGTATCGTTAGGATCTTATCGATACTCTTATCGGTTCTTTTTCATTCACCATATAATTGCTTTTTAATATATTAGTTAAAAATAATTAATTGAGAACATAATTAGAATTAATTTATATTTTAAATAAAACTACGTTCTAGAGCAGCAACAGCAAAGTCACTAAGCTAAACAGACTACCTACGGACAGCTTTTGTTGTAGCAGCTAGTGCACTGTGCTTGTTTAAAACAGTCGCGGTGTACGAGAGACGGCAGACGGGGAAGATTGAAATATCACTTTTCTACATGTTTACATGTTAATACTTGTTGAAGAGTTGTATCAATAAATGATCGGCTTTTTACCTGCGATCGTCTTATTGCACTTACTGTGACGTATGTTGTCGGAGGAGCCCCGACACACAGAGCAGTGGAGATTCTGCAGCGTGATAGTAAATTACACCAAAACGTTAAAAAAGAACCGGTGATGTCGGAGCTCATCAACACTGCGGTCGTTAATAATTTAGCCCCGGGGCCCGTTTAATACCGGGCTTCAGTCCCAATCCCTACAGTGGAAGCACAATAGTAAAATGTCTGAGTCCCTCTTCACCCATTTAACACAGATTGGACCAACAAACTAAAATTGTATTGAATAAACTATTAAAGTGTGTGTGTGTGTGTGTGTGTCCTGAACTCAGGGACCCGTTCATGGTCCTGTCTGGAGGTCTGTCTTACGATACAGTGGGGAGGAGAGCCTGTCTGACTGTGATGCATGGAAAGAGCACTACCGTCCTGGAGATGGACTACCCCATCGTAGATTTTCTAACGCTGTGTGAAACTCCATATCCTAACGGTGAGCTTCTGGGTTCTGTTCTCCCATCTCAGAATCTGGAGTAGTTCCCTGAAATGACGTCATTGTTAATTTTGTGTTGTTTTGGTTCTTTTGCCAGACTTTCAGGAGCCTTATGCTGTGCTGGTCCTCCTCGAGAAGGATTTAGTTTTAATAGACCTCGGACAGATCGGGTAATTATTCTGCTTTCTATATATAGTTTAGTTAAAGTATTTCAACCACATTATATTAAAATGCAGTATACAAGAGATACTGCTAATTATTTTAGTCACTCATATGACCGGTTTGAATCGCATATTTCTAATGCATTGCAATACATTTTGAAATAACGATTCCAGACATTTTTGTTTGAACATTAAATTGAATTTTCATGGAACATTTAAACTGGTCAGAGTATTGAACACCATTGATCGGCAGCAAGCAAGTTGTCATTTGCATCTCAAGTTGATAGACGAGCGCAGTTATTGAGAAGCTGGAGTTGGTTTTCAAATCGAACCTAATGGCACATTATCTTGACAGGTACCCGATATATGAGAATCCATATCCTCTGACCATCCACGAGTCACCGGTGACCTGCTGTGAATACTTTGTCGACTGCCCTGCCGAACTTATTCCTGCACTTTACTCTTTCGGCAGCCGGCAAAAGAGACAAGGTTACAGCAAGAAGGTGAATTACTCCTCCGTGTAATCTGTGTTTTAAATGCATTGGAATTGATTTTGGAGACGCGTGTGTGTATGCTGTTAACCTCGTAACACAACTAAAAGAAGCATGTTTTCTTCATTTATTTATTTTCGTTTTACAGGAATGGCCCATTAGTGGAGGAAACTGGGGCCAAGGCACTCAGAGTTACCCAGAGATTATAATCACTGGGTTAGTAACTCATTCTGAATGAAAGCATTAATTGATTTGTTGTTTTGATTCACAGGCAAACATGCCATTGTTACAGTGGACAAATTATATAACATTATTTTGTTTTCTTTCTGTCTTTTAAAAAAAATATGTTTTCAGACATGCTGATGGGTCGATCAAATTTTGGGATGCTTCTGCATGTGAGTAGTTTTTATTTGTTTTATTCAGTTCAGTTGTATAACAGAGCTGCCTCTGTAATGTGACCGATACCGAGTCATTGTTCTGTAAGTCTCAAGTCTTTGCACTCATTTTCCAAGTCAAGTGCCGGGTCCTAAACTTTGCGTTTTGACTCCTAAACAAGTCATATTGTGATCTTCACCAAATGTAATGCCATTTTAGCAACATATAATAATTATAATATATAATTAATGTATTCAATTTACAAAAATCCTGAATGCTTTCAAGAATTTGTATTCATTTGTTAAAACAAGTGCGACTGAAAACCTAAACATAAAAGAGCAAATTGGGAGAATTGCTGGGAATGAAATAAAGGGAAATTAATTTATTTGTGACACACCTTTTAAATAAAATACTTTTTAATCTTTAGCCTTGGGGCAAGGTATAAAGTGTCAAGTCATCAAATCTGTGACTCGAGTCCAAGTCATGTGAGTTGAGTCCACACCTCCGATGTATAATCCTTTCTGACGCAGGTTCGGTGCCGTAGAAGTCTACAGTTAAAAACGTACATTTGTACGATCAACGCAGTAATCAAACACATATCCGTATCATCAAGTCAAATATACATTTTTATAAAACACTTGCCGCTGATGTTTGCATAGATGAAACCTTTAAAGCCAGTGCAATATACAATATTTTGAATACAATACACAGTTATAGTGTATTGCAGTAACAATCAGGCCTCCTATCTAGACTTGTGGAAATGTTTGATTTGCAGATAAAATGGCCCTTTATGCACCTCCATTCAAAGTTAGTAAAAAGGAAAGTATCATGTTATGCATCAATATTTTGGCAGCAGTTTAGGAGAGAACGTGTCTGTTGTTGTTTTTATTTGATATCTATCTTTAACCAGCTTCTTAAGTCATTCTTTCCTCATAGATATGAATACTAGCTTTACGTAGTCATCGGACACAATAGATCAAGCTTTCTGTTGCCACCGCCATAGTAAGCTCTGAGGCAGCTTGCTATGCTTATGAAGCATGTGTAAACACAACAGTGTCATCTGCATAAATAAACAAGTTCACTCCATGACACTGTTTTTAAAATGTGTTTGTGCATAATTCAGAAGAACTAATCCAGGTGGCTCCACTAGTGTGTACTATTGAGCTCATGTACTCATGTATATTACCGTACCTGTCTTAACGCCCTTTTTGCACTCTTCTCAAAGTAATGCTTCAAGTGCTGTACAAGCTGAAGACTGCCAAGGTTTTTGAGAGGGCTCGGGGTAAGGAGGAGAAGGCCAATACAGAGATAGTCGAGGAGGACCCGTTTGCCATCCAGACCTTGTCCTGGTGCCCTGAGAGCAGGATGCTCTGCGTGGCCGGGGTGTCTGCCCACGTTATCATCTACCGGTTCAGCAAACAAGAAGCCACCACTGAGGTTGTGCAGGTGGGTAAACAGTCAGTCAGAAACATGCAGAATTGTAGTTTTGCACAAGTATGAATCGTTGTTTAGACCTTGAAACTGTTATCTGTTATAGTTTGATTTATTTTCTGGGACAGTTGGACAGTTCAGGGCATGACGGGTGTGGGAAAAGATGGTTCTGGCATAATTTCATCCAAGGCCAGAAGAGATGCGTGCATTTTTAAAAGGTGACAGTGAAAAACTTCCAAAAACGAGCCTTTTTGTGACCTATTCTCTCTCGCGTTTAGCTTTTGGAGGTGCGGATGCAGTGTGAGTTTACCGACGGGGAGTCCCCTGATCCAGGAGGGGAGCAGACCCCCACCCTGCCCACCCCGGGATCTTCCTCCAGCCCTCAGGAGAGTGAGCCTCCCACTCAGCCCTCCACAGGCAGCAACTCCTCCGACGGACCCAGGGACAATGTACCATGCCTGCAGTACGGACAATTACGTTTTCTTGTTCTGTTTTGCAAAAAGGTTGAACTGGGGGAAGCAGGTTGTCACTGAACAGACCAATTTAAGTGAGTGATGTAGTCATCCATTCACTCCTTCCAGCCAGCTGCTCAATCCTTCACAACATCAGTACACCAGGGGGGAAATAATCCTCTTTTATAAAAATGTTAAAAAATGAGGAACATGTTTTGACAGTAAAACGGTGGAAGGGGGAATAACACTAATAAAAAAAATGATGATATTGTCAGTGTGGCTTACCCAAAGGGTGATAATTCATTCCAGTGTAAAGTGCAGCCTGCTGTGTGTTTGATGCAGGGTGCGGAGCTCCCCGCTGAAGCAGTCTCCGGGCTACCAGGTGGAGCTGGTGATCCAGCTGGTGTGGGTGAGCGGGGAGCCTCCTCAGCCGATCACCAGCCTGGCTATCAACTCCTCCTACGGCCTGTAAGTCTACGCCGCCAGCGCACTTGTTATTTTGACATGCCATCACACCATTCTATGCCTACAGTTGTCTTGATAGTGGGTGGTTATCCATCTCCTGTATTTGTTCATCCTGTCACACACGACAGTAACGATTTATATAGTCCAACTGTAAATAGAGACGGCCTGTATCATAGCTAGGAGGTCAGGGCCAAAACGGCATCTGAATCCTAACTCCACCGTGTCCCTCGTCCCTCCCTGTGCTTCAGCGTGGTGTTTGGAAACAGTAACGGTCTGGCTGTGGTCGACTACCTCCAGAAAACTCTGCTCCTCAACATGGGCACATCGGAGCTGTACAGCCCTTCTGACCCCTACCAGAGGCAACCTCGCTCCCCACGCAAAGTGCGACAGCCCTCTGGAGGTGAGCTGCACTCCCAACATTTCTATGTCTTGTTTCTCTGTTGGTCACTCTTCATAGATAAGGCAGCCCTGACTAACATGATTAACCCTGGAATACATGCTTTGTCTGTTTGTTACTCGCCCTGTATTTCTTTTGCTAAAGCAGTCTTGACGTTCAGCTGAACGGCTCTTGCTCAGGCCGTTAGAGGTGGGTTAGTGAGGCGGGGCTGACTCTTGGCAGCAGCCTCGACTTAGCACCATGAGCACCGCCCCCTGCAGTAGCTCCTGTCCCTCAACAGGGGGCATCACTGACAGATTCTCCATCTGTTCAGTTGGACAGACCAAAGACGGTGAATACTGCATCAGTGCTGCAGTAGCGTTTCCTTTTGATTCCGTTTTATATGATGAAACGATACGTAGTTCATGTTTATTTGCTTGTTTCTGTCTTGACCTTTACTGTGTTTTTGTCATTCACTGTTTGAATTCACTTTTCAGTCTCAGTGACCTGGTGATAGATTCAGCACTCTTTTATTTGGGTTTTCTGCCATGAAAAACAAATTTTCATGTATGCAGACTGCAAGAATATTATCTGATGTTAATATTTTTACAGTTTCATTTAAAGTAGAAATCGAGCAGCACGCCTCTGAGACTCTTTTCTTTAACACTTACGATGTCCTGTCATTTTTTCTGTTTCACTGTTTTTACTGTTGGTCTCTTTCTGTGATTTGGTAAAGACTTTCCAACTGGCACGTCTTGCATGTCCAGACTTTCTAACTTGTATTCTGAGTCTGTGAAAAAACTACGTTCATCCCACTCCAGTAAGTCATGTTGTGTCTGAATCCCCCCCCCCCCTCCCCCTACAGTGTTGTTTTTCTCCTCCAAGCCTCTCCTCTTTCTCATAAAGATACACTCCCTGACTTTGATTTAGCACCCCCGAAGCTCACTTTTCAAAAAAACCGGGAGGAAATTTTGAGACTTGAGGGGACAAAATCTGGTAGTGTATCTCTTTAAACATGCCACGTATTTCACCAGACAAACAGTTACACCCTGAGTCAACAGATTTGTGCTAGGCTTGTGAAGTGAACTCAAGTGTGGCTTGCACTGTACGGGTAGATGCCCCTGCCCTTGTTCAAATATGACCCTTTATTGTTGTCAGTCTTTGGACTGTAGGAATTAGCATAGCTGTAGTAAGCCTGTCTGAGAGCAGCCCAGGAGGACTAATTCTGCAATGTTTAATTAAAACCTTTGTGGCTCCCACAGCAACCTGTGACTCAAACGATGGGTCCAACACCTCAGAGGACCGCTGCAAATCACCTACTTCAGGTAAGCCTCCCTGAAGCCCGAGTGCTCCATGCATACAAAGAGATCCTTTTATCATTATGAAGTACATCTTTTTCAAAGGCTGACCTTTGTCACGTAGGATCTACCTCACCTTGCAATTCTGATGATGAACGAAAACAGAAGTTCATAGAGAAGGGTACTGTATTGTTAAACGCCGCATGTCCCCTTAAATGTAAGCATTCCAAAAAAATGGCTGCAGATATCTGATTTGTCTTTTTTGAACCTTATTTCCAGTGAAGTTCAAAAGCAGACGCTTTTCCAAGACTGTTGCCAATGACTTTGGTACTGTATCATCCAGATGTATTCTTTCTGATCACTCACTCTTTCTCTCTGAATGACAGCGTTCTAACCTCACTGTGCCTCAAACCTGCGTCAATCTGTGCATCTTGTGCCAATGAAAGACAGAAGTGAATTCGGGAAATGTGTTTAACTAATCATACGGTTTGGGGATTTCTGAGTTGATTTACGAAATGAATCGGGATTCTTTATTAAATGCATGACAGGACGTCTTTTGAATTTCGGGCCTCAGATTTTCTATGCAGACCTTTGACAAAATGCTGCCGGCTTTTGCTACTCTGGCTTGTAAATATTATGCCCAATTGGCAAACGTTGCTTTTTCCACTGAACTCAAAAGCATAGAAAATCTGCTTCATGCCTTATTCTTTACGTTACTAATGTCTAACCTTGTCACTTAAATGTTGACGTGAATTATGTGCCCTGTTTGTAGACATTTGCTGTGTGTGTTTCTGATTCCAGGGCCTCAGTTCAGCGCTCCTCCTACTGTCTTTGCATAACTATGTTCACTGAATTGCCAATTACCTTACTTCTTGACTGCCTCTTGCTTTGTTTGATATTGCAGGCCCTCTGGTTGTCTGTGACGCCTCTCAGCCTCATTTGTATTCTCTAAGAGTTTCTCTAAGCGAGGTTATAGACTGCAACGGACAACTTTTATACTTTATATTGGCAACACTCCAACAAAGTTAAAAGTACGACCTCAAGTCAATTGAAATTAGAATATTTCTCTGAAAGAAATGCAGTGTTGTACACAGTAAGAGTTGTCCCATGTATGGCATAATATACTGTGTGTAAAGGCCTGTCACGGTCAACAGAAGTGATTACGATAAACAATATTTTTGTCATTTTAAGACCATTTTGTGCCACTGATATAATAATAATGATATGATAGCATGATAATGCAAGTACACCCTTTCAAAAAGCATTGAACATTCTGACTTTGACATCATGTTCGCTAAAATGTTCGTGACATTCTTATGTAAACAAACGCACTATATCGAGGTCAGAAAAATTATCGAGATCATATCCATGTATCGTACGATAAGTTGATAACGTGGTTATCGTGACAGGACTATGTATTTATGCACTTTATGTACAACAGTTGTCCGTCAGTGTATCACCACTCTTATGACTCGATATCCTCATTTTTGATTGCGCACTGATTTGCACAGTAGCAACAATGTCACAGATTGCTGTAAATGACTGTAACGGAATCTTTGAATTGTAATTTATTTCAAAAACCTTTTTTGATTTTTCACAAAAAAACATTTCCATTTTTTAGCCATCAATCTTTCCCCATACAATATGAGTATTTGTTTCTGTTACAGCCAAGATGTCACGGAAAATTAGCTCGTCTAGCGAGCAAAAGACTGACCTGGGTAAGCCAAAACATCCGAATTTTAGCTTCCAAGAACTTTTACATTTCTCTGCAGGTGTTCTTTTGTCACTTGTATCTTCTTTCTTTGTATTAAGTTCACAGCTGTAACGTACATGTGAGAGTACTTTGAATTGTCTAATAGCATTTTGGTGTGAATGTGAGACTCCTGTTGTCTTGGGATGTTGTACTGTAAGTTGAGACGAACACTCTGTCTTTGTTTGCACTGTAAGCAAAGGAGAGGTCCAAACAATGGCGCTCTGTCACGTTTAAGAAGCGCATTTGTTGTTTGAACGAAGGCAAGGCGCCAGCCAGGATGACCCAGAAGGGGGCCGTCTATAGAACTGAATCAGCCCCCAACTTCTGTGAGTGGACCAGCCATGGTCTGACTTGGGCTGAAGTGGGATAACTGGTACTAACCCCCCACCACTGCTGGGACTTTTGCTCTGAATTGGTTAACATGACACTAATCTCTCTCTCACGATGATTGTTTCGTTCTTCCTGAGAAAGTGCCGCTGACCTGACTGAAAAAAAAAATCTTGATTTTTCTCGTTTACAGTTTTTCCTTGTGAAGAACACACATGATGGGCGGTGTGTTTAGCCTTCCCCTCTGTGTCACGGATCTTTTTGTGTTTCTGTTGGGATCCCTCATTAGCTTTTTAACGAGGGTAAAAGCTTGTGTTTCAGCTGCCGTCAGCACAGTAATGAGGCATGAATAATTCTTGCTCCTTAAATACCAGTCCTTCCTTGGGAGTCCCTGTAGTACTACATGCATTTTTTTCACATTGAGAATGTTGTCAATTTAATTGCAAAAAAAAAGTACATTGTGGGAAGCATTAAAAGAAAATGTATCCTTGGATGTAAACTGTGCAAGAGCATCTCAATGTCAAAAAGCTTTTGACTAGTCATGTGATGACTAGTCTGTTCTGGTTTACTTCTATGAAGAAGTGAATATGATTGATGTGCTTCACTAAACATATAGTAGCCGAGTCTAACTAACATTTTAACTAAGTTTTGACCCAATGGATGTCATGCCATAACATCTCTAAGTCTTGATTAAACTTCTTTACCTCTTTCCTTTCGCACAAATCCTAATTCCTAATTCCCTGTTTTTTGTGCTCACTCCTGCTGTCCAGATACCAAGGATAACTGTTTCACCCGCTCGCGTAGTTCAAGTGTAACCAGCATAGACAGAGAATCTCGAGAGGCCATCTCCTCCTTTCACTTCTGTGAGAGTTACCCCAGGAAGACGGACAGCGTGGTGGGCCCCTGTCTGCTGGTGGGAACCACCCAGGGCACTGTGATGATGGTGGCCCTCAGCCTGCCGCCCGGTGGGGACCAGAGGCTGCAGCAACCAGTCGGCGTCTCCTCTTGTGGTAAGAAGTTGAGCTGTTCTTAAAGTAATTCACCACCAAGTAGGGATCTGCATGTGAGTGGGGAAACAGAAAATGTAATTACCTTAATAATGACATCTATTGACAAGCAGTTGGAACTGAAACATCAGTACTAGGACTTATCTCTACTGCGGAGTCGTCACTCCAAGCCACTTAAAATCACACTTTACTGACACACATGAGAACGCTAACTATGTGCAGCAGGGATTCAACATTTTGGATGAAGATATAATACAGTATTAAGTAAAGTAGTATTAATATTTAAAGCTCAGAATGACCCTTTCTGGCCTTTGTTGTTGGAATGTCTCGATGGTCTCTTGCACTGTCATGAGTTAAGATTTAGGAAGGAAGTGGTGGAGACAGAGGGGACATTGGGGTCACTTAAAAACTCGTGTGTACGGAGTTTTCTTTCCACAGTGTATGAGCCGAAAGATTAGATCAGATTCAGTCAAAAGATTCAGTTCCAGAAATCTTTTTGAAGTTGGTATCAACAATATCAAATCCCCACAGGTGGCGTTTTGTGCTGTAGAGCAGTATATATCACTTTTCAAGCATAATTTAAAAGTTCAGTACAATATCAGTGAGTCACATGATGGGGCATTTCAACTAAAACCTTAAAGTTTGGGCTTCAAATGCATTGTATGCTCATCATGTGCTGTACCCATTTTATAATAAATGTTCTAAATAATGAAATCCAACTTCCCTCGGTTGTTCTGGTTGACCGTATTTTAAGGATTGCAGCACTGAGTTAATATTTGCTCGATATTCAGTAGGCAGTGTCTGATGCAAATGAAAACAATACCTTTTTGTAATACTCGTTCTTCAGGCAGTATGGTCGAACTCAAAGGAGGCATTTTGACTATGGCCCTGTTGGACGCCACTGGAGCTCTGCTGCCCCCTTCCTACGAGCCGTGGTATGACCCAAACGCCTCCGATGAGGAGAAGGAGAAGAGCCGGAGGCGCAGGCCAGCCTCCCCTCCATCGTCTCAAGAGGGCCAGGATGCCCAGTTCGCTGTGCTGTGTTCGGAGAAACAGGCCAAGGTGGTGGCCATGCCCTCCCAAACCCGCATCTACAAGCACAACATCACAGAGACCTCCTTCGTGCTGAGGGCTGATGTTGTGCAGATGGCCGGAGCTAACTGCATCGCCTGTTTCTGTGCTAACGGGCATATCATGACTCTGAGGTATGACTTCTGGTAGCTTCAGTGCATTTGCGTAGCAGAATTCTGAAAGTCACAATGGGGTCTGAAATAATGTCTGTTCTTTGTATCGTTGCAGTTTACCCAGTCTACGGCCTCTCCTGGACGTGAACTACCTGCCGCTGACAGACATGCGGATAGCCAGAACGTTCTGCTTCTCCAACCTGGGTCAGGCCCTGTACCTCACCTCCCCCACTGAGATCCAGAGGATCACCTACAGCCAGGAGACCTGCGACAATCGGCAGGTCAGATAAATGAGTCGCACTGTGAAAAGTTTGGATTCATCTTTCATTATTAGATCCAATAATTCTAAGTGTGGAGAAAAGGCTTTCTATTTATGCTTTGAGGAAACAGTCTTACAGTGTGTGAGTACGGAGAACTTCTTGAACAGTTTGTGGCGGGCGTAATGTTTAATATTGCACTCGCAATTACAGTGTAATTTTAGGATTATTCATCAATCTTCTAATGAATCGTTGGGCTTCCAGACACAACACCAATTATCTCTTCACCAAGCGTCCTCGGAGGACAATTCTGGGATCTGTTGTTCAGATTTAGCATCAAAGGAATTACGGAGGAAACGGGGGCATTCAAGAATGAATATTCTTATTCAAAGCACTTATTAAAGGATAACTCTTTTATTTTTTTAACCTGAACCTGTTTTTGTGACTAATGGGAACATTTTTTTTATTGGTCCAGTATTGAGGGAGAACGCTGCAGACGTCAGCTGCAAAACGAGCTGCATTGTAATCATATCGGCCAATTCTGCACCATCGATTGTTTTTGCCACTGACAGGCTCCTATTGTTATGGACAGGATTGGTGGAAACATGAGTGACAGTTGGAGACAGGAATGCCGGGGTTGTCAGAGTTTGTTGTGTCGGAGTACAGAAAGCATAGCTTAGTGTTATCGAAAAGAATTTCAATGTCATGGCTGAATGTTTAGCAGATCTCAACAATGTAGATGGGACGCAAGATTCTCCTCCGAGCAAGACTCGGTTAGACACAATAACAAACAGACTGGATCAAGCGGAGGTAAAGGAAAAATTGTTTAACACTGGATCAATTTTTAAAAAACTAGTTGTCCCTATTGGTCACTTGGGAAAATAGCCAATGAGGTCACAAGTATTACAATGGTAGTTAAAAAAATAAATGGTTCTTTTCATGTGAATTTACATCATTTCATGCCCACTATTAGCACCTGAAATGGTATGGTATATACCTCATAGGTCAGTCTGTATCTCTATAGGGAACATATTGATTGAAATAGACATGATGTTTATGTCTTCCTCAGGAGATGCTCAGTGAGTTATTTACCCCCGTGGAGACACCAGAGGCTCCTAACAGAGGTTTCTTCAAAGGCCTGTTTGGGGGAGGAGCTCAGTCTCTGGACAGGGAGGACCTCTGTGAGTAAAGAATAGCCTAGTGTCAATTTCTATATCTATATATCTATATCTATATATCTATATATATATATCTATATATATATCTATATATATATATCTATATATATATCTATATATATATCTATATATCTATATATATCTATCTATATATATATATCTATATATATATATCTATATATATATATCTATATATATCTATCTATCTATATATATCTATCTATCTATATATATATATCTATATATATATATCTATATATATATATCTATATATATCTATCTATATATATCTATCTATATATATCTATCTATATATATCTATCTATATATATCTATATATATATCTATATCTAT